CGAACCTCTTCCACTTTAAAACAGATCAGTTTATGTAAATAATGAGCCACATACTCTGGTTCTGTAACTAATGTAGTTACACAATTATACAAGATTGGTCTTCTCATTTTCTACTGAAATAGAACATGTACTTGCAAGTGAACATGAAGTGTTGCCGGTTCAAGAGGTTTTTTTTTTTTTCTTTTTTTGTTTTAAACTAGTAAAGGTTCTTTGGTACAGAACTGTGGTTATAACATGGAGTCTAGCTGTTTCTGATAACTTACTGGAATTTTGTTTTTTCAAGAAGAGAGTGGTTGTTTTTGTTTAGGAAATGATAATATTTTAACTGCTTATCTGTGCCTCGCAGCTGGCAGAGAAACGCAGTACATTGGTAATGGAGTTGTATTTGGAACCCTGAAAACTTCCGGACTTTAATGTTTGCAGAGGTAGAAAGATAGGTAGCTTCTGGGTTTAGTTTGCTTTTTAAAAAATTAATTGATTTTATTTGAAAGCCAGAGTAGAGAGGGGGTAGGGGGAGAGAGAGAGAGAGAGCGCGCGCATTTGTGCACGTGCGCGCACTTCCATCTGTAGGTTCATTCCCCAAATGGCTGTAACAACAGGGGCTGAGCCAGGCTGAAGCCAGGAGCTTTTTCCAGGTCTCCTTTGTGGGTATGGGGGGCTTAAGCACTTGCACCGTTTCCACTGCTTTCCCAGGCACATTAGCAGGGAGCTGGATTGGAACTGGCACCAGTGCCCATATGGGATGCCTGTATAACAGGCAGCAGCTTACCCTTTACGCCACAATGCCAGTCCTCTTGTTTATTTTATTATTTTTTAAAATTATATAGCTTTGAGAATATCACTGGCTGGGACACCAACTCAGTTTTATATTTGCTGTTTGTTTTATATTTTTCAAAGCGTGGTTCTAAACAGGAGGAAAAATCAAAATGAGCATTCAGGCAGGAGAGGCTATCACACTAGAATGGCAGCTGCATAGGGGCAGGAACTTTTTGTTCATTGCTACATCCCTGGTGCCTAGAATGGTACCTATCACTCAAAAATACTTGTTGAATGAATGAAAACCTCCATTACTTTTCTTTTTTTTAAAGATTTATTGGAGGCCAGTGCCGTGGCTCACTTGGTTAATCCTCTGCCTGCAGTGCCAGCATCCCATATGGGCGCCGATTCTAGTCCCGGCTGCTGCTCTTCTGATCCAGCTCTCTGCTGTGGCCTGGGAAGGCAGTGAAGGATGGCCTAAGTGCTTGGGCCCCTGCACCCGCATGGGAGACTGGGAGGAAGCTCCTGGCTTCAGATCGGCGTAGCTCCCACCATGGTGGCCATCTGGGGGGGTGAACCAATGGAAGGAAGACCTTTCTCTCTGTCTCTCTCTCTCTCACTGTCGATAACTCTACCTGTCAAATAAAAAAAAAAGTATTAAAAAAAAGATTTATTTGAGAGGCAGAGTTACAGAGAGAGGGGAGCAGAGAAAAAGAGGTCTTTTATCTGCTGGTTCACTCCTCAGATGGTCGGAAAGGCCAGAGATGGGCCAGGACAAAGCCAGGAGCCAGGAGCTTCCTCCAAGTCTCCCACGTGGGTGCAGGGGCCCAAGCACCTGAGCCATCCTCCACTGCTTTCCCAGCCCATTAGCAGGGAGCTGGATTGGAAGTGGAGCAGCCGGGCCTGGAACTGATGCCTATATGGGATGCTGGCAGTGTTTTACAATGACACTCGTATTTCTAGCTGACCAAATGAATGTTCGATTGTAGCTGCTGGGAGGATGAGTCGTTGCTGACGCTGAGATGGACCTGCCTCAGCCTTTTGGTTGAGTCTGCTTTGTTGTGTGGCCCCTCTCTCGGAACTTTATGGGCATCTTGGTCTACATACTTCTCTGTGAATGGACATTCATATTTTGACATGAGTAAATTACTTAGTAATTTCTAAAACATGTCAGAAGATCCTCACAGTAGATGTAGTAATTCCCTTGAATTTAATCTAGCACTGTAAGCATATTCTTATCCCTAGACTTGATCTGTTGCTTCAATTTATTTCAATCCTTCAACCCCATTACCTGCTGGATATACATCTACTTGGGAATTCACCAGTACATCATAGTACACTAGCTTTCTTAGAAATCTACCCTTTATTTTTTTTTAACATTATCATCCTTTTTCTAGTCACCACAGGCCTTAAGATTTTGTAGTTATCTTTAATAACTTGCTTTGTCTCCTTTTTTCCTTTTCTCATCAGTTACCAAGCTCAGGCAAGTTTTGAGTCATCCATTTCAGTCTCTTCCTCTGCATTTTCACTGTCTCTGAGATACTGGCTCATAGCAGTTGATAACAGAATTACTACACTAGCAGCATGCTAAGTGACCACCCAGCTACACCATCCTTCTTGCCTCTTACTACTATGTAGCATCACCACTTTAATGTGATTTCCCTGCTCATAAAACTTGATTCCCACCCCCACCCCCCCTGCTATTCTGGGGACAGTCACAACTGACTTAACTGCATTTCTAGTCTTAACTTCCTGTATGTGCTGTCAACATCCTGACCTATTCTCCATTTCTCAAAAATGTTGTGTTCCGGTGAACAGGAACCCTTACTTCAATTACTCCTATTCCTTTCTTTCTCTTTATTGAAATCCCACTTAATTTATCTGTAAGACCTAGTTTAAGTTCCCAAACTTCCCTGGACCTCTGAGCACATACATGTAGTACTTTGATACTTCTTGACTTACCGTGAGCTATTTCTCATCAGTTTTTGTCTATAATAAAGTTTTTGGGAGGGAGAGAAAGAGGGAAAGCTCCCATCTGTTGGTTTACTCTTCAAATACCTGCAATAGCTAGGAGCTGGGAATTCAGTCCAGGACTGCATGTGGGTGGCAGGGACCCAACCCTTGAGCCATCATCTGCTGCCTCCTGGCATGTGCCCTAGCGGGAAGATGAGATCAGGAGAGGCAATAGGACTCAAACCTGGGCACCTTAATTGCTAGGCTGAATACCTGTCCCCATATATAATAATTTTTAAGTGGAAGGTACCCTCACATTTATTATTTAATGTTTCTTTTTCTATTGATTTTCATTTGAGTGGGAGATAGATAGATAGATAAATAGATGTCCCATTCACTGGGTCACTCTGCTTGTACTTGTTGAGGCTGGGCCAGACCCAACAGCCAGGAACTTAATCTGAGTCTCTTATGTAAGTGATCCAACCACTTGTGCTATTGCCTACTGTCTCCCAGGGTCAGCATTGGCAGGAATCTGGAACCAGGAGCCTCAGTCGGGAATCAAACTGAGGAACTTTGATATGGGAATGTGGGCCCCTAACATCAATAGCTGTGTCAGACTCTCACCTTCCTATTTTAATTTGAAAGGTGGGGTGACAGCACCTTTTTTTTTTTTTTTTTAAAGTATGTCACTTAATTGAGAGGGAGAGACAGAGAGAAAGATCTCCCATCTGCTGGTTTACTCCCCAAATGGCTGCAACAGCCGGAGCTGGGCCAATCCAAAGCTAGGAGCTTCTTCTGGGTCTCCCACGTGGGTGCAGGGGCTGAAGGACTTGGGCCATCTTCTGCTGCTTTCCCAGCCCATAGCAGAGAGCTGGATTGGAAGAGGAGCAGCTGGGGCTAGAACCAGCACCCATATGGGATGCCAGTGCCGCAGACAGAGGCTTAGCCTACTACGTCACAGTGCTGGCCCCATGCATGTTCTTTTTAACAGATGTTTGTAATGCCCTGTGTTATCCTCAGATAAAGTTCATAGATAATGTAGCTACAGACATAAAATATAAAAAAACCAATGTAATGCCTTGTTCACTAAAAAGGAGGACAATCTGTGATAGTGTGTATTTCAGCATGCAGATATGCCAGCAGGAAAAGGCCCTGTGGATCTACGAGCCCCTTGACTTTCCTGTGGTACGGCCTTGGACCTAGTCGGGCAACCTCAGACTGCATGGTTGTTACTTAGTATAGTTTGTATCTTGCAAATTATGAATAGTTTTTAATTCTTATGTGGTATATGTGACCTAACTTAAAAAATTAAAATTACAAGTTAATGGAAGACAAAAATATGACTTGTAAAATGATTAAAACATTTCTTACCACATATTTAGCTTTCTTTTCATGGTTTTCAGTTAAGTTTCTAGAGGTTGTGGGAATAATATGCCATATTTTATTGAGTCCTTAATTTTAGAGTTTGACTTTGTGTCATTTAAGCAACCAGTTTAAAAGGACAAATTATGTCTGCAAATATTGATGGAAATCATCACACACGAATCAGATTGTCTTTTGTTTCTGTAAAGGTCAGGTTGTTGCCTAGTTGTGACAGGAATTCTTTGTGTTACGATAAAAGCAAGGGGAATATAGTCTTCAAACAACAAGATCTGTGATCTTAGTTTTTTAAAATGCACCTGTTCCTGTTGTGGCAAATCTTCCTCCTACAAGTCATCACAAATGATGTTTGACTGAAAAAACTTCAGTGAGAACATCCAGGGTTCCTCGAAAGCTCTGCTCTGTACAGTTCTGCAGTCTCTAAAGTGGTGCTGAGGGCTGACTGGATCCATTCTGCGCAGGTACAAGTTTGAGTTGGTGGTTGAGGGGAGCGGTGCTGTGTGTAGCAGGTAAAGCTGCCACCTGTGGTGCTTGCGTCCATAGGGGTGCCTATTTGAGCAGCTGTTCCACTCCGATCCAGCTCCCTGCTAATGTGCTTGGGGAAACAGCAGAAGATGGCCCAAGTGCTTGGGCCCCTGCACCCACATGGGAGACCCAGAAGAAGCTTCTGGCTTCCATCTGGCCGTTGCCGCCATTTGGGGGAGTGAACTGCTGGATGGATGATCTTTCTCTAACCTTCTTCCAAAAAAAAAAAATCTGTGGTTGACTAAATAGTACACATTGTAACAGTTTAAAAATCTGTTTCCATGGCATTCTAACTGGTAGAAAAAGTCTTATGGGAAGATCTAAGTGACTTGACTTGATTTTTAGGCCATTTGTTATTATAAAACAATTGATTTTTTTTGTTACAGATTTCCTTGTGAAACCTAATAGAAAAAGTTATTGGGACAAACTTTGTTTGGTAAGTTTTGTTAAGTTTATTTATTTATTTATTTTTTAATGATTTATTTATTTGAAAGTCTACATAGAGAGAGGAGAGGCAGAGAGAGAAAGATAGATTGGGGTCTTCCATCCAATGGTTCATTGCCCAATTGGCTGCAACGGCTGGAGCTGTGTCGATCTGAAGCCAGGAGCTTCTTCCAGTTCTCCCACGTGGGTGCAGGGGCCCAAGGACTTGGGCCATCTTGTAATGTTTTCCCAGGCTATAGCAGAAAGCTGGATTGGAAGTAGAGCAGCCAGGACTCGAACCGGCACCCATATGGGATGCCAGTTCTTCAGGCCAGAGTTTTGACCCACTGTGCCACAGCACTGGCCCCGTTAAGTTTATTTTATTTTATTTTTTAAACTTTATTTGAAAGACAGAGTTACAGAGAGAGGTAGAGACAGAGAGAGGGGTCTTCCATCCGCTGGTTCACTCCCAGATGGCTGCAATGGCTGGAGTTGTGCTGATCTGAAGCCAGGAGCCAGGAGCTTCTTCTGGGTCTCCCACGTGGGTGCAGGGGCCCAAGGACTTGGGCCATCTTCTACTGCTTTCCCAGGCCATAGCAGAGAGCTGGATTGGAAGTAGAGCAGCTGGGTCTCAAACCAGTGCCCATATGGGATGCTGGCGCTTCAGGCCAGGGCTTTAACACACTGTGGCACAGTGCCACCCCCCCCATTAAGTTTATTTTTAAACATTTATTTATTTGAAAGTTGGAGTTATAGAGAGAGAGGGAGACGCAACAGAGAGATCTTCATCCACTGGTTTACTTCTCAGCCAGCACTGGACCAGGTTGAAGCCAAGAGCCAGGAGCTTCATCCAGGTCTCTCATGTGGCTGGACCCAAACACTTGGGCCATCTTAAGCTGTTTTTCCCAGGCCATTGCCATTAGCAGGGCCCTGGATTTGAAGTGGAGCAGCCAGGGCAGGAACAGGCACCCATAAAAGATGCTGGCATTGCAGTGGTGGCTTTACCTGCTATGCCACAATGCTGGCTCTGTTATGTTTTATTCTCCCCCTCCCCCCCATGCTCTCTGATGTTTTGAGGCAGGGCAAAATTAATTTACAGATTTTTGAGGGTCTGTTTGTCTCTGTCCATATTCATGTAGATAAATTTTCTATATTCAGTTTAATGTCCTTAATAGTGGTGTTTCTTCACTAAAATTCTGGTCAAGTTATTTTTTCCATATGTAATTGCACTGTAATATAGTATTCTGTGCCAGAAACTTGTATTTATGTTGAGATTTTATGAGTTACAATTCTACTCTTTTGTCTAAAATGAACACTGTTTATCAAACTGGAGTTCCTTTAAATTGCAGCTAGAGTTTAAGTTGATGTATACTTATATGAAAATACAGTATGTTCAACATTTTGACTGCAATTTGCCACATGAGGTCAGGTGTGGAAATTTCTACTTGGGATGTTATATTGGTGTTCAAAAAAGATTCATATTTTGAACATCTAGGATTTTGGAGTAGGGATACTCAGCCTGTAATATACTTAACTAAATTTAATTAGGAAAAGAAGTTCTGAAAAGTTACTGGTCTTTTCTCTAGTGTGGATATTCCTTTCCTGTCTCCTAACATGTCCTTTTCATAGACTTATATCTCTACTATATCTTTATTACTGCCTCTTGCTTCTACCATCTGTTTGATTTAGGGAATTATTACACAGTTTTATTGAAAAGAAGAGTTGTTGCTTTGTTTGTGTGTGTGTGTTTTCTTTTCTTTTTTTTTTTTTTTTGATTGCTTTGTGTTTTTTGTTTGTTTGTTTGTTTTACAGGCAGAGTGGACAGAGAGAGAGACAGAGAGAAAGGTCTTCCTTTGCCGTTGGTTCACCCTCCAATGGCTGCTGCGGCTGGTGCGCTGCGGCTGGCATACCATGCTGATCTGATGGCAGGAACCAGGTGCTTCTCCTGGTCTCCCATGGAGTGCAGGGCCCAAGCACTTGGGCCATCCTCCACTGCACTCCCGGGCCACAGCAGAGAGCTGGCCTAGAAGAGGGGCAACCGGGACAGAATCCGGCGCCCCGACCGGGACTAGAACCTGGTGTGCCGGCGCCGCAGGCAGAGGATTAGCCTGTTGAGCTGCGGCGCTAGCCTATTGAGCTGCGGCGCCTGCCTGCTTTGTTTTTAAGTTTCTAAATCCAAATCATTTCCTTTGCTTGCCATTGCCTCTCAAACAGGGATCAAGCTCCTGAGCATGAGGGTTCTTCACAAGTGGGCTTTGAGCGCATCCCCGACTGCTCGACACCTGTTCTCCCCACGCTCCTAGTGAGCCTCTTGTAGCCACACTGACATACTTTGTGTCTCTCCAGTACTCTACAATGTGAAATTTTGATTTGTTCTGCATGAGGTATTTCTTTTTCTCATTAAGATCTGTCTTTCACAAAGCCTTTCAGAGCTTGCTTCTGTTTTCTCTGTCCTTTGCATTGCCATGGAGTTAACTTCTACATCTGTTATCACACTTTGCTGTATTAGGTACATCAGTTTTTCACCCTCACAAATTGGGAATACCTCGAAGGCAAGAACTGTTCTGACATTTGAATTTTCAGTTTACACATACCTCCTTGAGTCTGGTACACCACTGCGTTCTCAGTGTAAACTGCTCTAGATTAGACTTTTTGCTCTGATAAGACCAAGGGAAGGAGAATAGATAAGTTTTAGTAGGTATTGATTGTTAGGATTTTGTTAATTGTGTTTTTCTTTCTGTAAAGTGAAGGATTGTGTACTAAATCTGTGTCCTTATAGTCCAGGTTGCTCATTATCTTATTTGACTGAGTTATTCTTATTTACAAGTTTAAGGTTTTGTTTTTGAGTAAGGAATTGAGTAATTTCTCCTTAACAGGCACCTGAAAGATGAGATACCATGTTCATTAGGAATGGTAAAAGATGCTTTCCTTTTGTAAGGATGCTGAGAGGTCTCATCATGGAGATGAGAAACCTGTGGGTCTCTGCTGTCAGATTCTCATCAGTTTATTACAGAAATAGAAATTTGACCTTGATACTTAGAATGTTAACTTTCATTTGGCTCAGGGCAGGAGTGTGTGTGTGTGTGTGTGTGTGTGTGTATGTGACAAATTAGACCTTTTAGAGAAACAAATAGAATCTTGATATCTTACTTGACTTATTTTTTTTTAAAGATTTATTTTATTTATTTGAGAGGTGGAATTAGACAGAGACAGAGAGAGAGAGGTCGGGGTTCCATTTGCTGGTTCAATCCCCAGATGGCCACAACAGCCAGAGCTGTGCCGATTCAAAGCCAGGAGCTGGGAGCTTCTTCTGGGTCTCCCACATGGATATGCCAAAGGTGACACACCCAGGTTTGGCATGCTAAATCTTTCTCTCTCTCTCTTTTTATTCAGAAGGGAAGTAATTCCACACAGCTGAGCTCTTCTCCTTGAAGGCAGTCAGTGTCTGAGTGCTGGCCCCTATGGGTATAATATTCATCTACTCTGTCCCAAGGACCACACAAAGGATCTGTGCTGTCCTCAGTGTAAGCTCAGATTCCCCTGCAATCTCCCACTGGGTTGCCAAGGTTACCGAGTTTGTGGTGTCTTGGTGTCTCCCACCGAGTACTCAGTACTCATGTCTCAGGCACTCCGTGAGTTCTCTCACACACCCTCAGTGTTTTTTTTTTCTTCCCCCACAGTCTCAGTTCATAAGCTCCACATGTTCACTAGGTCTTAACCTCCTGTTATTTCTCCCCACCAGAGTCAGGTTTTTCTGCTTGGCTGAGGGCGGGTGCAGCCCTGAGGTGGCGCAGCTTTTATGTATATCTAAAATGGTGCCTGCTCTTTGTGTTGCTTGCTTTTGTAAGGTGAGTGGAGAGAGAGAATTGTGTCTATACCGGTCCCTTTTATTATTATTTTTTTCTCTCCTCCAGTTAGCCTGGTGAACTTTCCCCCACAGGGCTTCAAGCTCATTCCCTCTAGACTCTTCCTGCTGCTTTCCTGCCAGTGTCTCGGGCTACTGAGGTTTTGCCTCACCTCCCTTTCCAGTGCTGGTGCGTAGACTCGGCGGCTGGGGTCCCAAGCCATGGGTGCCTGTGCCCACCATGTAGGTCCACTGTGTTCCACTTGTTCTGGAAGAGTTTTCTCTGCAGTTTTTTTCATAACTCTGACCTGAAACTACAGTATCTCCACTTTTATTAAACTATCTTTTCCCAGACTATCAGTGCGCTCCCTCCCTATTCCGCCATCTTGGAGGACTCCTTGCTGAGTACCCTTCCTAATGCTCTTTTTCTGTTTGTACTGTCACCACATCTTCCTATATTTGCCTTCTGATTTTATTCTTTCCCTGTCTTAATGCATTCATCACCACACCACAGGCCAGAATGATATGAAGATCCAAATCCTGTCACTCTGCTATTTAAAACCTGTCAGTGGTTTCCTTTTGTGCATAGAATATAATCTGTACTTCATACAGTGGTTAAGCCACTGCCTGTGATGCTGGCATCCAATATGAATGCTGTTTCGAGTCCTGGCTGCTTTACTTCCAATCCAGTTCCCTGCTAATGCACCTGGGGAAGCAGCAGAAAATGGTCCAAGTGCTTGGGTCCCGGCCACTCATATAGGAGACCCAGATAGAATTTGGGCTTCTGGCTTTGGCCTGACCCAGCCCTGGCTGTTGCAGCTATTTGGGGAGTGGATGGAGATCTCTCTCTCTCTCTCTCTCTCTCTCTCTCTTTCTCTCTCTCTCTCTCAAACACACACACACACACACACACACACACACACACACACTCTGCCTTTCAAATGAATAAATAAATCTTTGGAGAAAAAAGGTTGGTAGCTTCCAACTTCCTGATATCCAGACTGGTTTTATTAGTGCTTATTTCTGCTTCTTTAATTGGATGTCTGATAAGCATCTCAAACATGGTATATCTCAAACAGAACTTCTGACTTCCATCTTCCTTTACGCTTTCTCTGCATGGGTGGGGAACCCATCTTTCATATGGATGTTCCTCATCAGTAAGTGGAAAAGTCCTTGCTTCTAGTCACTGAAGCAAAAAGCGTCACCTGTATCTCTCTCATAACGGTTTATCAGCTTACATCTTGGTAATAATGCTTTCAGAGTACATGCAAAATCTGACAGTATCCCACCTGCAAATTTGTAGGACCCTGTAAGCACTGTATTGTCTCTTGCCTGGATTATTGCAGTAGCTTGAACTGGTAAACTTTGCCCCTCACCCACCCTCAGTGTCTCCTCTGTCCTCTGCTTCACAGCCAGAGTGATCCTTTAAGTTGTCTCATATCACTCTTCTGCTTGTAACTCTCCTCACCCCACCCCAGATGGTTCCAAGAATCTGGCTCCTGCTACTTTGACGTCGTCTGTCACTCACCACTGCTCCTAAAGAACTTCTGACTGCTGAAGCTCAGGGACCCTAAAATACCCTCTGTGAATAGTTTACCAGACCACAGATGTTGGCTTTCAAGAGACTGATTTATTCAGAGAAAAGCAAGTTACTAAAGAAGGTAATACTCTCCATAGCCTATCTTTGTATTTCAAAATGGGTACTTTTTTTCTTTAATTTAAAGTTGGGTACCCTTTCCTTTCCTCCTTTGTTCTTTGAAAGGCCAAAACAGTGGTGGGGGAGGGGAGTTTGGCACAGTGGTTGTCAGTGTTGGGTCATCTGCAGCCCATTGTCAAGAGTGACTGGTTGGAGTCTTGACTGTTCTTCCTATCCAGGTGCCTGCTAATGTGCATCCTGGGAGGCATTGAGTCATGACTAAAGGGCTTGGGTTTCTGCCACCCTGTGGGAGACCCAGATTGAGTTCTGGGCTCCTGATTTCAGCCTGGCCTAGTCCTTTCTCTTGAGGGCATTTGGGCAGTAAACCAGCAGAAGGAAAATCTTGATCTCTCTTTCTGCCTTTCAAATAAAATAAAATAAAAATAAGCAGTTAAAGGTATTAGCACAGTGTTTAAGTTCTCAAGAGAGCCTAGATTGTTGGGGTATTAAGACAGTTTTTACACATTTTGCTTACTGACACAGTTTGCTTCTCAGACAGGAAAATCTCTTGAGTTTAAGGATAGCCACAGAACATCCTGAAAAATGGCAAGAACTTCCATCTAAAGTTGACAAAATTTTTGGTGTTACCAGTATAGGACCCTTAGTTTTTGCTACTTTTTTTTTTTGCAGAGTTAGATTAAGACCAGGAGCATTGTTATAAAGGTATTAGAGAATTTGGAAGATTACTAGTAGGAATTGGCTGGTGGTAATTGAGCTTTGTCTTTACTGTGGTCAGTTTTTTAGAGTCATATATATGCAATATCCTTTAGTTACGGTTTGCCAGGTAAGGAAAAATCTTATTTTTTGTCTTTTTTTTCTCTTTTTCTTTTTAAGACTTCAGCATAAGGGACAGAAGAGACGTGTCAGACATTGAAGAAGGAACGGGGATCTCTCCTGATCTGGGCCTCCTGTCATGGTAAGCACAACAAAGTGAGGAAATTGGAATGGAACTGTATCTTGACAATTAAATAAACAGTAATAAATCCACAATTATTTCTGGTTTGGTAAAAAAAATTCTTTTTTAATGATTTATTTTACTTATTTGAAATACAGAGTTACAGAGAGGGAGGGAGGGGGAGAGAGAGATCTTCCATCCACTGGTTTACTCCCTAAATGGCTGCAGTGGCTGGAATTGAGCTGATTTGAAGCCAGGAGCCAGGACCTTCTTCCGGGTCTCCCACCTGGGTGTAGGGACCCAAGCGCTTGGGCTATCATCCACTGCTTTCCCAGGCACATTAGCAGGGAGCTGGATTGGAAGTGGATTAGTCGGCACCCATATAGGATGCCGGTGCAGCAGGTTGGGGCTTTAACCCACTGTGCCTTAGCGCCAGCCTTCATGTTTCCTTTCCCCAAACTCTCTTCTTGTCTCCTTTCTTTGATTGTTTATCTAGCAGAAATAATTATAGAGTACTACATTATATAGCACAATTTCATTTCTGCTAACTTTAATAGTCTGAACTAGATAGTCTTTGTTTTTGTTTTTTTTTTTTTTTCTTTTAGGTTTATATTCATTTATTTGAAAGAGTTACAGAGAGGCAGAGAAAGAGGAAAAGAGAGGTCTTCCATCCACTGGTTCACTCCCCAAACAGCTGGAGCTGAGCCGATCCTAAGCCAGGAGCCAGGAGCTTCTTCTGGGTCTCCCACGCAGGTGCAGGTGCCCAAGGACTTGGGCCATCTTCTACTGCTTTCCCAGGCCATAGCAGAGAGCTGGATTGGAAGTGGAGCAGCTGGGACTAGAACCAGAGCCCATATGGGATGCAGGCACTGCAGGCAGAAGCTTCACCTGCTATGCCACAGCACTGGCTCCTAGTCTTTCATTTTAAGTCAGCTAGTAAATGAAATCAAAACTAAAACATGATTCTTAGACTCCAGGTATTTTTATTCATTCCTTGTCTAGGAAATGCCATGTAGTAAAAATGTTTCTCTGTAGTTATTAGTTTGGTGTGTATAGGAGAATTGTGAGATATTCATTGCATATTCTTTGTAATAAAGAAATTTTTAAGTTGACAAAAATGCATATATTGTGTACAGTGTGATGTTTTGAAATGTGTCTATCTTGTGGAATGGTTAAGTGAACTAATTAATGCAAGCACATATTTTTAATGAATTTAACTTTATGGATAGGAGCAGTTCCCAGCTTTATGTCTCTTTACAGCATTGTTTTGATCCCACAGTAGGTGGAGCAGCTCTGCACACTCAGTGCCCACCTTTTTGACCAAAAAGAGCATATAATGGACATTGCATTGACTTGTTGGCCATTTTGAGCCCATCTAGGCAGAGAAGATGCAGCACTGGGCCAATTAGGTTTTCATCAGTCTTGAGAACATGTGAACAGTGCTGAACAAAAGTGGTTTTCTATAATATTGTCCTGCTTCTACCTTGTGATGTTCCCTACATCCAAACTCTGTTTCGTGCTAATGCACAAAGAAGGAATTGAAAAGGCCATGTTAATTTCAAGCTTCATTAGGGACATATGCAGAAAATGCATTTTCAAAATTAAAAACAAAACAAAACTAGTTGTGCAGAAATGTCATATTAAAAAGAGGGGAAACTTAAGTGCCAAAAGGGCCAATTTTTTCTTAGTTTGTGGACATTACAACTTTCTGATTTATCCCACATTAATGAACTCTTGCTATTGTTTCTCTAGGAAATACTTTATCTTACTGGTTTTTCCATATAATCTTCAATGAATTGAAAAAGTATTTGCATAGTGTTTACAGAACATAGGTGCCAGCGTCTGTCTCTCATCGTGTGCCCCCAGCCAGCAGCACCGTGGCCTGCTTCCTGGTGTTGCTGGGGTCTCCAGGGCCCTGCACACAGTCCTGGTTCCTCCCTGTCCCCGTGCTGCGGCCCTGCTCGGGGATGCTTCTCCATGCAGTAACTGAGGGCAGCATGGCCATGCATCCTGTTTCTTTCCCAAGAGCAGCGTTATAAATGGTATAATGGTATAAATGTAAATTCTCATTTACAATGCTACACTTGAAACCATGGTATCTATACTGTATGTGTATTTTTTATGTAGTTAGAATAACAATTTCTGTTTTGCTTATTTTACTAAATTAATTAAACATTTTCTATATTGACTCATTGGATTCCTAGTAATTTACAATTGTGTAACGTCTTGCAAGTTGTTGAACCATTGATTTATGCTGTGTTTAGCCTTTGGATTGTATGCCCTTAAACCTGAGTTTTTGTGTGGAGAATTCAGGAGCATTGAAGTCTGTCTGTCTTTCTGTCTGTCTTTCTTTTTTTTTTCTTTTCTTTCCTTTTCTTTTCTTTTTTTTTTTAATATATGCCTCTGTACTCATGTGACATCCTGACTTGACTCTTTCACTTTTTTTGTTTGTTTTTTAAAGATTTTATTTTATGTATTTGAAAGGTAGAGTTACAGAGAATGGTAGAGACAGAGAGAGAGGTTTTCCATCTGCTGGTTCACTCCCCAAATGGCTGCAATGACTGGGGCTGAGCCAGGCTGAAGCCAGGAGCTTCCTCCCAGTCTCCCACCTGGTGCAAAGGTCTAAGGACTTGGTTCATCCTCTGCTGCCTTCCCAGGCCCATCAGCAGGGAGCTGGATCAGAAATGGAGCAGCTAGGGCTGGAACCGGTACTGGCACTGCAGGCTGAGGCTTTAACCTGCTGCGCCACAGAGCTGGCCCTATCTCTTCTACTCTTAAAGTTCTTAAGTGAGATTGGAGTCCCTCGTTGACAGTTTAACATTAGTAAAATACGGTTTTTTGTTTTATTGTGTGAGTTCTCAAGCCCATGCAAAGCGAAGGGTACAAAGAAATCTCCAGTGGCATCCATCAGGTGCAGTAGTCATCAGTGCATGGCTACTGTGCTTCATTTGATTCTCCCTCTCCTCCATCACTTTGTATTAATTTGAAACAAATTTCAAGGGAAATGTATTTTTATCTGTTAGGTTGACTTCTCTCCCAAGTAATTTACTTAAAAACTTCTCTTTACATGCGTAGTTTAGATTAGAGCAGAAACTAGTTTGGGTCCGAGGTGACCGATCCCTTTTCAGGATTTTGGAGGCGACCCTACTGAGATTCCTGGCATTCCTTGGTAGTTTCAGGAAGCCAGCCATGTGGAAGAATGTATTCTCGAGCCGGCGCCGTGGCTCAATAGGCTAATCCTCCACCTTGCGGCGCCGGCACACCGGGTTCTAGTCCCGGTTGGGGCGCCGGATTCTGTCCCGGTTGCCCCTCTTCCAGGCCAGCTCTCTGCTATGGCCAGGGAGTGCAGTGGAGGATGGCCCAGGTGCTTGGGCCCTGCACCCCATGGGAGACCAGGAAAAGCACCTGGCTCCTGGCTCCTGCCAGGATCAGCGCGGTGCGCCGGCTGCAGCGGCGGCCATTGGAGGGTGAACCAACGGCAAAGGAAGACCTTTCTCTCTGTCTCTCTCTCTCACTGTCCACTCTGCCTGTCAAAAAAAAAAAAAAAAAAAAAGAATGTATTCTCTAATACTGATACATTACTGTGTATAGCCTAGGAGAAATTTATTTTGGAGACTCTTATCAGACCAACACTTCCCAGGTCACCACCTTATCAGCTATCTCAAGTTTGGTCTCTTTTTAACCTGTGAAACTCACAGAAACTTTAATAAATTTAGGCAGTTATTCAGATGCCAAATTCAACTCCTTGGCCAAGTAATGATGTGTTAGTCACTGTTCTTCTGGAAAGTCAAGGCCTAGATGCTCCTTCTAAGTCCTTTGGGATTAAATGTTTTTTCACGCAGAAGGAGAAGAAACTTGTGGAGCCTTACGTATACTGAGAACTGAGACAATGTCTTTTAACAAGATTTGTTAGGACATACTTGTTTCTCTTGTCTTCTGGCCTAATTATCAGTTCTCTTATGTTGAAAATTATTCATTCCACTTTTGTTTTCACTAGTTACTTTGGTTTATACACATTGGTATGAATTAGTTCCTAAGTGAGTGTGCTAGCAAGAAGGAATAAATAAAGGGGTCTCTCTCTCTCTCTCTCTCTCTCTCTCTGCCAGTGAGAGACAGGGAGAGAGTTATAGACAAAGAGAGAGAGAAGTCTTCCTTCCGTTGGTTCATTTCCCTAATGGCCGCGCGCTGCGCTGAGCCAGAGCCAGGAGCCTTCCTCCCGGTCTCCCATAAGGGTGCAGGGACCCAAGCACTTGGGCCCATCCTTCACTGCCCTCCCGGGCCACAGCAGAGAGCTGGCCTGGAAGAGGAGCAACCGGGCCTAGTACCTGGCGCCCCAACCGGGACTAGAACCCGGGGTGCCGGCGCCACAGATGGAGGATTAGCGAAGTGAGCCACAGCGCCGGCCTCTCTCTCTTAAAGATTTATTTGATAGAGTTAGAAGGAGAGACAGAGATATCTTCCATCTGCTGGTTCACGCCACAAGTGATGGCAACAGCCAGGGCAGCACCAGGCAGGAGCTAGGAGCTTCATCCAGGTTTCTCATGTGGTTGGCAGGAGCCCAAGCACTTGGGCCATCTTCTGCTGCTTTTCCCAGACCATTAGCAGGGAGCTGGATTGGACGTGAAACAACTGGGACATGAAACGGTGCCCGTATGGGATGCTGGTGACGAGGTGGCGGTTTTACCTGCTGTGCCACAGTGCTGGCCCCAGCTCTTCTGTTTTTTTAAAGCCTGCTATGTTATTTCAGTCCTGTGATGTTTAAAAGCCAGCAGAAAACTAGATCAAAGACTCACTTTAAGAAATAATTGGGGGGGTGCCAGCACTGTGGCGGAAGTTAACCCCAGCCATTGCAGCCATTTGGAGAGTGAACCAGCAGATGGAAGATATCTCTGTCTCCCCAGTTCTCTAACTCTGCCTTAAAAATGAATGTAAACTTAAAAAAATATATCCAACCAATCCTATTGTCATTCTCAAAGGCAAGCTATGACTTGAAGAACACTGAGTATTTATACTTACAGAGAATCAAAAAAATGTGGAGAATCATGAATTTAAGAGGATTTTTCTCACAAACCAATAGGAGGTAGGCAGAAAATGCTGTGAAATATGAGGTGGGGTAGGGCTTTAACCATGCTCTCCTGCATCATAGTAACCAGCTTTTGAACACTTACATGTATGAGACCTTTGCTTTTACGGCCTCTTTAAAATCATTTTACTGAAGTATCCATTTCTATTTGTTTTAAAGATTTATTTATTTGAAAGGCAGAGATACAGAGAGAGAGAGACAGATCTTCCATCTGCTTGTTCATTCCCGAAATGGCCACAGTTGCTGAGGCTGGGCCAAGCTGAAGCCAGGAGCTGCGAGCTTCTTCCGCGTCTCCCACGTGGGGGCAGGGACCCAAGGACTTGGAGCATCTTCTGCTGTTTTCCAAGGTGCATTAGCAGGGTTCTGGATCGAAAGTTGAAGCAACTGGTTTGAACTGGTGCCCATAATGGGATGCCAGTGTTGCAGGCAGCAGCTTAACACACTGTGCCACAATGCCTGCCCTGTTTTTTGTTTTGTTTTTTTTAAGGCTAGCAGTAGTGACTCTGCCTTGTATTTGTTCACCCATTCATTGACCACAGAGGAAATGGGTGGAAAGGGATAAAATGGTACACACCGACACAAAGCTTTTCTGTAAGTTATTTTGGTGTTTGTTGGTATATAGCCATTTATAGACCTTTGTGCACCCTAGGTAGTTACATTCCATCATGTCAGCCTTACTAAACTGTGCCAACTTCATTAACCTTTCTCTGTGCTATATAAGAATTTAGGGGCCGGCACTGTGGTGCATTGGGTTAAAGCCCTGGTCTGCAGTGCCGGCATCCCTTATGGGTGCCGGTTCGAGTCCTGGCTGCTCCTCTTCTGATCCAGCTCTCTGCTGTGGCTGGAAAAGCAGTAGAAGATGGCCCAAGTCCTTGGGCCCCTGTACCTGCATGGGAGACCTGGAAGAAGCTCCTGGTTGCTGGCTTCAGATCAGCTCAGCTCTGGCCATTGCGGTCATCTGGGGAGTGAACCAGAGGAATGGAAAACCTCTCTCATTCTGGCTCTACCTCTCTCTGTACCTCTTTCAAATAAATTAACTCTTTAAAAAAAAGAAATTGAAAAGTTTTTTTTATAATTTTACTTTTGAAATTATTTGATTATAAGCTATATTTAATAATAATGTTGACTACTTAGGAACTTAGGGAAGTGACACAAGCATATGACTGGTTCTCAAATTTAATGTTAAAATCTGCATTTAATGGTTGAATTTTCTATTTTTTGATATTTCATGAACTATTTAAAAGTTACAAGTTTTATAATTTTTTTATTTCTAATTTTTAAATTAAACTTTTAGAAAGGCTCATAACAAGGATAAAATGACCCTGGGGAAGGGCTGGGATGAGCCCAGTCCTTTAGTAGCAGAAATGTTGGATTTGTAGGTAGTAGATAGGGTGTAGCTGTATTGCTTTTTCTGTCAAGATTAGTACTAGCAGAATAGTTTTAGGGAAAGCCTGGCTTTTCAAATGAAACAGTGTTCTAACTGGGATTTATTACTGTTATAGAGAGCAGGAGTTACATTACTCTTTTAGGGTCTCTCTTATAATCTTAAGATAATGAGGACTCTCAAGAAGGTTTGTGTAAGGTAGGGGTGGTGTTGTGGCATAATGGATAAAGCTGCCACCTGCGATGCTGGCATCCTCCAGTCCTGGCTGCTCTACTTGTGATTCAGCTCCTTGCTAATGTGCCTGGGGAAGCAGCAGAGGTTGGCCAAGTGGTTGGGCCCCTGCACCCACAGGGGAGACCCGGAAGAAGCTCCTGGCTTTGGTCTGGGCCAGCCCTGGCCGTTGTGGCCATTTGGGTAGGGAGCTAGTGGATAGAAGATCAGTGTCTCTCTCTCTCTGTCTCTCCCTCTCTCTCTCTCCACTGTTTCAATTAAAAAAAAAAAAAAACTAAAAAAAGTCTGAGTTATGGCTGTATTTATCAGATTAAAAACTAAAATTTGGCCAGCACCGTGGCTCATTTGGCTGATACTCTGCCTGCAGCGCCGGCACCCCAGGTTCTAGTCCCGGTTGGGGCGCCGGGTTCTGTCCCGGTTGCTCCTCTTCCAATCCAGCTCTCTGCTGTGGCCTGTGAAGGCAGTGGAGGATGGCCCAAGTCCTTGGGCCCTGCACTCGCATGGGAGACCAGGAGGAAGCACCTGGCTCTTGGCTTCGGATCTTCGGATCAGTGCGGCATGCTGGCCATAATGGCCGTTTAGGGGGTTAACCAGTGGAAGGAAGACCTTTCTCTCTGTCTCTAACTCTGCCTGTCAAAAAAAAAAAAAAAAAAGTAAATGCTGATAATTTAAAAAAAAAAACCTAAAATTTAAAATCTTTGAAATGCTCATGAACTCATTTAAAAATAACAAAACAATCACATGGTAACATAAATAACATTTCTGATGAAAAATAAGTATTCCAAAATAGTGTAAATAGTGATATTGTTTTACATTTTCAGCTTTCTTTAATACTTGGCTCCAGAGAACAGCTGGATTCTCATTTACAACTGCATTCAAACTGTAATAATACATTATTTTGCTTAAAGTACATGAAGAAAATCCAGCCTCACACAGATATGTAATTAAAAAAGGGAAGGATGTTTTAGTAGTTTTTCCAGATAATCTTGTGTATTTTTCTTTACTATGCCAAAACTTGACAAGCAGCAGTTCCTTAAAGATTGGTTGCAGTGTGGAATTGGCAACATATCAGTGAACTTGTTGTAGTCTGTTACATTAAAACCATTAGTTTCTCTTGGACTTCGAATGCATTTTTTTTTTTTTTTTTAAGATTTTATTTATTTACTTGAAAGAGTTAGAGAGGCAGAGGTACAGAGAGGTCTGGTTCACTCCCCAGGTTGCTGGGCTGATCAGGAGCCAGGAGCTTCTTTTGGGTCTCCTGTGTGGGTGCAGAGACCCAAGAACTTGGGCCATCTTCCACTGCTTTTCAGGGCATAGCAGAGAGCTGGATCAGAAGTGGAGCAGCGGGGACTTGAACTGGCACCCATAAGGGATGCCAACACTGCAGGTGGGGCAGCCCCCATGCATTATTTTTTAATATCATACATTAATCATTAGGAAAATAAGGGGTTCGTTGCGTGCTACAGATCTTTCAAATGTTAACATAGTACATTATGTAGTATTTTAAAAATTGTGTTTAATAGTATCACCACTTATAAAACCTAAGTAATGAGAAGCTGTCAAATTTATAACAGATGACAGATTTTTCAAGATTTTTTTTTGTATAAAAACTATCATTGGCAACTAATAGTTTCATTTGGAGGAAAGATTTGCCAAATGCCCAAGTCTCAGTTTCTGTAGTTGTCTATCAGTTGTTTTTTCAGTTAAAAATGATATTTACTGGGAAAAGTGGCTAGTTCAGCTTCTAACAAACAGTTGTACAGATGCTTTACCTTAGACAAGCGTTCAGGATTCAGCAGAGGTATTTTATGTGTTAACCCTCAAAAAGAGGCCACTTTTCTTTAGGAACTGAGTTTTAGCAAAATTTACAACTTCTTTCCTCTGCTTTAGGTCATTCAAAGTGACACTAATGCCACCACTCTGACTGTCCTAAGATACTGGCTGTTTTACCCACCAGTTCTTCACTGTTAGTGCAAGTTTCACTTCAGTGAAGAAGAGTCAAATAATGACTTAATACTTTCTTTAATTAAAAATGTTTTTGTTTGAAAGATACCGACATCTTGCATTTGCTGGTTGATTGTCCAAATGCCCTTAATAGTCAGGGCTGGAGCAGGCTGAAGCTTGGAGGCTGGAACTCATTCTGGTCTTCATCCTGAATGGCAGGAATCCCAGTCCTTGGGCTATCACTTGCTGTCCCTCAGGCTCATTTGCAGGGAGCTGAGTAGGAAGCAAAAGCAGGACTCAATGCCCAGCACTGCAGTATGTGACATGGATACCCCAAGTGGTGACTTAACCTGCTGTGCCACAACACCTACTCCTTAATACTACCAGTTAGGTTTTTTTTTTTTAAATTATCAGCATTTTCTGACAGGCAGAGTGGACAGTGAGAGAGAGAGACAGGGAGAAAGGTCTTCCTTTGCCGTTGGTTCACCCTCCAATGGCCGCCGCGGCTGGCGCGCTGTGGCCGGCGCACTGCGCTGATCTGATGGCAGGAGCCAGGTGCTTTTCCTGGTCTCCCATGGGGTGCAGGGCCCAAGCACTTGGGCCATCCTCCACTGCACTCCCTGGCCACAGCAGAGAGCTGGCCTGGAAGAGGGGCAACCGGGACAGAATCCGGCGCCCCGACCGGGACTAGAACCCGGTGTGCCGGCGCCGCAAGGCGGAGGATTAGCCTAGTGAGCCACGGCGCTGGCCAACCTTAATACTACTTTGAAGGTGGTTTTGACCTCAGAGGGCCTCTCTGAGGGTCTCAGATTCTGTGGACTTCATCTTGAGAATCACACTGATAGAATATGGCTAATTTGTGATTATGATTGCTTAAGTATTATTTATAGGTAGAATTTTTCTCCTTTGAGGAGTTACAGAATTGTTAGAATTATAAGTGGCACGTACAGATGTATTCAGTAATTAGTAGCTGTAATTATTAGTTCCATCAGTTGAATGTGATATAGCTTTTGGTCTTTGAAAAATTACTGTGTAAACAGATGTCATCATAATTTATAGTTGGACTTTGCATTTCTCTCATGTCTTCTATATCATAAAGAATAATCTAAAAATACTACTTTTTATGCAAACTATGATTAGTTTCATTCAAGTGCCATTTAGATGAGAATTTTTTCGTTTTTTGCTTTTTCTTTTGAATTGCATTAATAGAAATCTGTTTGGTAATATTGGGCAGAGAAAATTAGGGATAATGATTCACATGTATTTTCAACTTAAGTTCAGTTCTGAAGCAGACTTTTTTCTTAAAAATCTTTTTGGAGTTTTTACTATGGACATTTCATGTAAAACCAAAGGAAATACAGTACAGTAGTATAGTGAACTACCACTTAACTCTCTACTTACCAATTATCAATTTGTGGACAATCCTGTTGTCATTTTATACCCCCTCACTTCCTTCTTCCTATTCTTATTTTGTTGAAATAATACAAAATGTTGCTTTTCATTTTTTAAAAAGATTTATTTATTTGAGAGGCAAAGTTAAAGAGATAAAAGGAGAGAGAGGTCTTTCATCCTCTGGTTCACTCCCCAAATGGTCATAATGACCAGGGCTGCTCCAGGCCAAAGCCAGGAGTCACGAGCTTCTTATGGGTCTCCCACTTGGATGGCAGGGGCCCAAGGACTTGAGCCATCCTCCACTGCTTTTCTAGACTCATTAGCCGGGAGCTGGATTGGAAGTGGAGCAGCCAGTTCTTGAACTGGTGCCCGTATGGGATGCCAGTGGTGCAGGCTGTGGCTTTAACCTGCTGAGCCACAGTGCCAGACCTCACATTTTATTCTTTTTTTATTTTTTATTTTATTTATTTTTGACAGGCAGAGTTAGAGACAGAGAGAAAGGTCTTCCTTCCATTGGTTAATCCCCCAAATGGCCGCTACGGCTGGCACGCTGTGCCGATCCGAAGCCAGGAGCCAGGTGCTTCCTCCTGGTCTCCCATGCAGGTACAGGGCCCGAGGACCTGGGCTATCCTCCACTGCCTTCCCAGGCCACAGCAGAGAGCTGGACTGGAAGAGGAGCAACCGGGACAGAACCAGCGCCCCAACCGGGACTAGAACCCAGGTGCTGGCGCTGCAAGCAGAGGATTAGCCTAGTGAGCTGTGGCGCCAGCCATCCCACATTTTATTCTTAAATAGTTCAGTATGTATCTTTCAAAAGTAGAATTTTAGATTATAAGTTGCAGACACATAAAGCACGATATCTTAATTTCTCTTATGAGTAATATACTAACAACCTATTAATGCTTAATAGAAATGTTCTAACTTCTTTGAAATTTTTTTAAATCACTGTGTTCTCACACTAGAGACCATAGTGGATGGGACACTTCTTTGGGATGAATATTTTCATGTCTTTTCTGCCTGTACTGTTACTGTGATTATGCTACTAGACATAGCAGAGAAAATACGGATGACTGGAAGCTTTGAGATTAAGTGAAGGCCTTGTGTTTCTCCAGGATGAAGAGACTCGGCACAGCCTTGAGTGCATCCAGGCCAATCAAATCTTTCCCAGAAAGCAGCTGATCCGAGAGGATGATAATCTTCAGGTAATTACAGGCTTCTTTGATGGTAGGAGATGCATTTAGCATCAGGGTAATGAGACAGCAGAGCTAACGGCTTGCAGTAAAGTCAAACATAATGTTTATGTTTTCCCTAAACCATACATGTATAAATGTAAACTGGAAAACAACTCTTATTTCTTAAATTTTTTTTATGAGACTGATTTCCCAAAAGTTCTTTTTTGATATGATCTTCTCTGTGTTCATCCTTCAGTCTAGAATTTAAGTAGCTAGATGTATGTCAGTAGGTGATTAGGTTCCTTATCCACTTATGTACTGTGATTTAAGTTTGGATGACAGAAAATTTCCTATCCATTCACCTCACCTGTGTTTGAGGACGGCTTTTCTGCTTCAGACCTGAAGGATTTCTTCTTTCATTTTGAAGGTTCCTTTCCTTGAACTTCATGGAGAGAGCACAGAGTACGTGGGCCGTGCTGAGGATGCCATTATTGCCCTTTCTAATTATAGACTTCACATCAAGTTCAAGGAGTCTCTTGTTAATGTAAGTGATTACCAACTGTTCTCCCTCTACCGTAGGTGGAGAAATTTGAAAAACCTGTTAATAACTTCCCAAACAGAGGAGAGGCAGCTAGGCTAGAGTGTGGGCAGGTGCGCTCTGCTCTCCTCTCTGTTTAGCATTCGGGAGGAGGTTGCAAGCAGGCAGTGCACGTGCTTGACTGAAGGTGATGCATGTCGTTTTCGGGAGGTGTCCTTTGTTAACAGTGAACGATTTGCACTAGATAAGGCTCTAGTGTTGATCTTTATAAAGGTAGAAAGGCTAAAGAGCCTGTGATTGAGATAATTTCCTGGACCTTAATGTCAAACGGTGATTCTTTTTTTTTTTTTTTAAGCTACTGTAGACTGTTTTTATAGGAGGAAGTCACTCTAATGGCTCCTCAGTGATTTAATATAATGTTTATTTGCATAATGGGCTATACAGTATTGAAGAGAAAAAGGGCTCTCAGTTCTCAAGAGTGCATTTACCCTTTCTGCTTATGAGGGTCTTCTTAGTGAACTGGTTCTTTCAATGCACTGCTATTACTAGTAGTCTTAAGTGAAACCCACAGAGGCCCAGAATTTCATGTCTTTGACCAAATCAGTGTCTTTCTTCATTGGTCTTTATTGTGCTTTCTGCACTCTATATCTAGCACAGAGATGTGATTATGACACCTTAGAAGAGCTCACGACTGCGCCTTCGTTTAGATTGTGTGTTTTGGGGCTCATTTTGGAGTTTTTTGAAATTTATCACTCATTCATTTTATTAGTTGGTCCAAAAGTTATCTCAGTGACATTCCTTCATTTATGAAGAGTATGTGGCTGCCATTTCCTTTGTAGTTGGCACTTACTTATTATTTCATGTATTTGAGTGTTTATATCAAGGTGCCAGTTTGGCCTGAACTACTTCTGACTTCTAGATTTGGGCTATGATTATAGCTAGTTTTCTGTCCGTTAGCTAAATAGATGCATCAGATTCATCCAGAGAGAAGGCACTGGTGTTTTTTCCTACATTAAGGCACTGTATTCAGAAGGCTTCATTTTGATTTGGGTGGACATGACATTAAGAGGTTAGGTTGGAAACTGTTACAAAATCCCAGCAACAAAAAGTTCCCCTTCGCCTACTGGGGAAGTAGGAATGGTAATGATGAGCAGAACTACCCAATTTTGTGTCCTTGTGCTATTTACGTGGATAGCATCAGTGACATTGTAATTGCACATGGGAATGATGCAGTTGCATACCAGTGCATTTCCCCATATTCTCTGTATATTAGCTTACTGGTTTATGGCCAGCTATTTCAGTGACTATCGTTAGATCCTTTTGGGTTAGGATTTTTTGGAGGGAATCATGTCATTCAGCAATTTAAAGCTCTTCAGTGTTTCTTTACTGTTTTAAGAAGATGATCAAAAATCTAGCATGATGTGGCCGGCGCCGCGGCTCACTAGGCTAATCCTCTGCCTAGTGGCGCCGGCACGCCGGGTTCTAGTCCCGGTCAGGGCGCCGGATTCTGTCCCGGTTGCCCCTCTTCCAGGCCAGCTCTCTGCTGTGGCCAGGGAGTGCAGTGGAGGATGGCCCAGGTGCTTGGGCCCTGCACCCCATGGGAGACCAGGAGAAGCACCTGGCTCCTGGCTCCTGCCATCGGATCAGCGCGGTGCACTGGCCGCAGCGCGCCAGCTGCGGTGGCCATTGGAGGGTGAACCAACGGCAAAAGGAAGACCTTTCTCTCTGTCTCTCTCTCTCTCACTGTCCACTCTGCCTGTCAAAAAAAAAAAAAAAAAAAATCTAGCATGATGTGAAGCTGTTTGTGATCTTTGGTCCATGACAGCTTTTTTGTCTGCCTTTGTCGTGCCCCCTTCTTCCCCTTTGTACTAGCAAAGCCAGCCTCTCTAAACTGGTCAGCCATGCCTCATGGCTCTGCATTCTCTTTCGTCTGGTCCAGGGAACTTCTCTTCCTCTGGCAAAACTCAGTTTAGGAGACGATTACTCTCTGAAGCCTTCAAACCCAGTTCTTTCCCTGACAGTTAATCCAGATCCCTTCTTTATCTTGAATATGCTTTTGTAACATTTACCAGATACGTTGTAATTTTTGGTTATTTGTCTTTGTATCTCCAGGATCCAACTTGTTTCCCGATGGCTTGATATTCAGAAAATATTGAGTGAAATGAAGTTAATAGGGATTGAAATGGACATTAGATGATCCCCTCCCCTACTTTGGATATAAAGTTCTTTTTAAAACTATGTAAATAGGCCTGGGCCATGATTGATCTGTAGTTAGTATAGGAGTCGGTTATTTACTGGGATCGTTGGTCCCTCATTTTGATCAACATATAATGTTTAAGGAAACTCACCATTGTCCTTATTTTTGACTCATTACCTCGCTTACAGGTGTTAGCATTATTACCAGCTAAGGCATATAGAACCTGCATGTCACTTAAAAAGCCCAAGATAATGACTTTACACAGAAAATGATTGTGCAAAAATATTTTGGCGTTAGAGGGACAAAACATTTCATATTGAGAGATACTAGAATTTTTCCATTCAAATAAATATTATCCCAGTTAGTGCTAGCTAGGTTTTCTGAAACCTGGGATTACTCTGAACAGTGACTCCTCCTGCATCCACTCCTGAGTGGGGAGCAGAGAGTTGATGTTGTTGCCCTTGCTGGTTTCCTTCACTCTGCAGTTAAATCTTTCAGAAAATACGTGTATCAAGAAGCCCCTGTCAAAGGTTGTTATGTCCAAATCAGACATGTGTAAGCCATCAGATCCTAAATGTGCCAGCCTGTGTAGTGCTATGCCTGTTTGCATCATTTTATATCCTTAAGCCAACACATTTAGTGCTTGAAAATGACTTACCATCAGGTTTTAAATAACTACCTGATACCATATGTTCTCTTTTAATTTCACAGAACATTGAGTAAAATGTGTGTAGTTTTAGATACCATCAGCGTCATTATTTTAATCCACATGCGTTCACTGCGTATCAAGTTTCCAACTCATAGGATACAAGAATTTCTGTAGTAGAGCTCATCTGTAGCATCTGAAGTATGGGTTGTTTCAATTCTGTGCATTTGCCAAATTACATTTTTACATGTATATAGGTATATTTCTTTTTCGGTTAGATAATTTATTTAGTGTTCAAGTAGAGTTCGTGGAAGTTTAAAACAATTTTTGTTGTATAATTCAATAGACTGCTTCGCAACCTGCTGCTTCTGAAATCCCAGTAAGTAGCATGAGATCCTAGATGGTTGCTGTACCTGTGCTTGGAACAGATTGTTTTTGAGTGTCAGATGCTCACCTTGCAAATCAGCAAAATGTGTCTTCTCTGCATGAGTCCCTCCTCTCCCCAGAGCTCTAGTGTTTATGCCACAATGAGAACAATTTGTGGGGTAATAAAGCCCCATAGTTGGCCGGCGCTGCGGCTCACTAGGCTAATCCTCCGCCTAGTGGCGCCGGCACACCGGGTTCTAGTCCTGGTTGGGGCACCGGATTCTGTCCCGGTTGCCCCTCTTCCAGGCCAGCTCTCTGCTGTGGCCAGGGAGTGCAGTGGAGGATGGCCCAGGTGCTTGGGCCCTGCACCCCATGGGAGACCAGGAAAAAGCACCTGGCTCCTGGCTCCTGCCATCGGATCAGCGCGGTGCGCCGGCCGCAGCGCGCCAGCCGCGGCGGCCATTGGAGGGTGAACCAACGGCAAAGGAAGACCTTTCTCTCTGTCTCTCTCTCTCACTGTCCACTCTTGCCTGTCAAAAAAAAATAAATAAATAAAATAAAAAAGCCCCATAGTTATTCGTAAGCAGAATGGATTGTGACCTTTAAAAATGTCTGAGTTTCAACCAGAAATAATTTGTAAAATTGACATTAGTATTTGAAACTTCTGTTTCCAGTGAGGTCTATCAGTCTCTCTTAGGAAAAAGATAAAAGTGTAGTGGTTTTCCTTTGTCCAGCAGTAGTCCAGCTGCCATCTCCATTCCCATGCACCAGGGGAGGGTAATTTTGAACATTAATGCACTTTGGCCTAGCACTCAGCAGTAGCCTCTGAATCCAGTGCTCGAGGGGTAACTTGTACATGTCAAAGGTGGGCAGTAAAGAGTGTGGGTCTTTATGACAGCTGTCATCCTTTTATTTTCCTTTTGTTACTGCCATTTTTACTTCAGATGTGTATATAGATTAATACTTTCCATTCAGGCTGTACAAAGGGCATTTATTTTTAAAAATGTTGAAATTATCCTACTTTTAAAATCTGGTGCTTAAAAATAATGTACACATGGACACAGAGACACATACACATATATATCTAAAATGAATCAAGGGGATAAATATGGAATATGGTATAAGATATGATAATACCACATCCCTCTGGAATGTGATAGTACTTTGGAATTTTTAAGTTTTATTTCTTTATTTGAAAGGCAGAGTAACAGAGAGGAAGAGAGCAAGAGAGCGAGAGCAAGAGCAAGAGAGTGAGAGCAAGAGCTTCCATCTGCTGCTTCACTTCCCAAATGCCTACAACAGCTAGGACTGGGCCGGTCCAAAGCCAGAGGCCTGGAACTTCATCCAGGTCCACCTTGTGGGTGGCAGGAACCTAAGCACTTGGGCCATCATCTGCTGCCTCCCAGGAGCATTAGCAGGGAGCTGGATCAGAAGCAGAGGTGGGATTGGATCCCAGACACTCAGATACGGGATGTGGGTGTCCCGAGTAGTGGCTTACTCTGCTGTGCTACAATGCCTGCCCAATTTTGAATTTTTAATGCATATGCATGTCTGTTAAAATTTCTAACCATTGCTCTTCATTTTTGGATTGATTTTCTTAAGGGTTTTGGTGCCTGTTATACAACTTTTGGCCCCTTGAATAATTTATTAAAAGCATCAATATATTTAATATATTGTTTGAACATGAATTTGGTGGAAATTACAACAGGAAAAGCATTGGAAAGGGAAAATTACCTGGCAGGTAGAAGATTTAAGAGAAAAGAGCAAAACAAAAACTAATTGCTATGGGACGTTAAA